AGCAAACGATGAGGCTAACAAGAAACTGTTTTATTGGCTGAAACAGACTTGTGTGGACAAAAATTATACTCGTCTCATTGAACAATTCATGTGACGGGCAGAAATTCCAGAGAGTCCAGGGGAGGAAAAAAGTCTCACAGTCCCCTAATTTCAACCTGGGGAGAGAACGTTTTCTAGCTATTTGAGGGAGATACCACTCTGAATGGTGCTCTTCAGGGGAGTGGATTTGCCCAGAAAACGCAAGCAGTTTCTAAAAGAGGATCAGAGGGAAACCATACCGGCACCCACTTTTCTCCGGATGCCCTCTGCGCCAAGCCTTCTGTCCCACAAAAAACAGTGACCGGCGTCCTGAGGAAGGAGTGTGCAGTCTATGAATGAAAAGCATTAAACAGCCAGAATAACTGCTGACTCTTATCCCATGTTTTCTGGGAACTGGGTGCTGGGCTGCGCACTCGACAGCCACACTTTCGTTTTGTCCCACTATGATCCAATGAATGAGGGAGGCAACGCTGTCCCCATTTCACAGATGCGGGAACCGAGGCACAGAGAGGTTAAGTCATCTACTGGAGGTTACACAGCTAGGGAAAGGATGGCTGGGGTTGGAACTTCACCCCGTCTAATGTTGAAGACCCAGGCTTCTAAACCCAGGGCCTGGGCAGACAGTCCAGTTGCGAGTGGGTCGTTTCTGTCCTGACCACAACAGGTTAGTGAACAAGATGGAGAAAGAAGCCAAACCAAGGAGCTTCCAGTCCTGGGGTCCAGGGAAATTTTAGAAGCCAAGAGCTCAACAGCCCTTCCTTGGATTTTTAATTCCAAGCCTCCCAGGTAAGAAGAATGGCATATTGATTGATGATGTTCCAACATGGGCTCCGGGGACCTCCGGCACAGGACGGGAACCATAGCAGATGCCACCATGGCCATCTGCTGCATCTGTGGCCCAGCTTTCCTTGTCCTTGGGCAACTGACTGGCCCTCTCCATCCCACTGTGGCTTCTGGAGGGGATGTTGATCACAGGGCCCCCAGCCCCTGGGCTAATATAGCCATAGGAGAGAGCATGTGACTTGTCCAGGGCCAACCAAAGCCCCCTATGGGATTTGAAATGGAAAAGGGTCTCAGCTTTAGAGATGGTGAGCCCTGTGGTTATAGGTAGAGGATGCTGGCAGCTACTTCCCACCAGTTGGAGGAGAGGATGAGGCCAGTGTGTACAGAGATACAGAGCCA